AGAGGGATAGAAACTTCATGGATGAGAAAGATTAATTATTAACCTGCCTCCTGCACACCCGCTACTGGGGGATTGAGCCTGAAACCTGGGCATGTGCCCTTGCCTAGAATTGAACTGGGGACCCTCAGTCTGCAGGCCGATGCTCTATCCACTGAGCAAAACTCGCCAGGGCCACTTAGAGAATTTTTAATGTATATGGAACAGATTGATACATCCTATTCCTTATAGTGTCTGTCTTTGATGAGCTTAAAAACACTTAACCTATATCAAGATTATTTAAACATTTGTGTACATTCTCTTTGAACCCCTTCATGGTTTTCATTTTTACATGTAAGACTTTAATCCACTTAACAAACTTTCTAAGACTCCTTATTGACTATTCCCTTCTTTCTTCTCCGTGAGCTTACCGAGCGCTCAATAAGCAGCGTGTCCACTGAGGCTGCGCTGGGTCCATGGCCACGCCCAGTGGGTTGCAGCTCACTGACACGTGTCACTCCCTGGCAGCTCTGTGTCAGGGTTGGCCTTGCCAGCTGGAGTTGTCCTCCTGCCTCTCACGCCCCTTTCTCCTCCATGGCACCAGGGGGCGATGTTCTTGAGGAGAAGGCGGGGAAGGAGTGGGCCATGGGGCTTCCGGATGCTTTACAGGCGCCCAGGCCTGGCAGGGCGAACCCGGCCCCCACCCTGAAAGGCCGGTGCCACGACCCGGCCGGGGCGGCCAGCTCCGGGTTTCTTGGCATCGTGGGAACCACGTGAAAGGGCTGGTTTCCCTAGGTACCAGGCTTTGCTCTTCAGACCAGGAGGATGGCATTTTGTCCACTAGGGCCATGTGCCAGCGCAGGGGAACGCATCCTACAGAGTTATCCCAGGGAAACTCCCGTGTTAGGTGAAGCAAGTCCCTCCCACAAGATGCAGCTGCAAAGTTTAATGGCAATAATAAGACTTACATAATGCTTACCTAGCATTTGGAACGCTTAATTAAATATGCCAAACACTGTTGTGTAATCACCTTGCTTATGCGTGTGCACGTATACCAGGTGCACACATAGCATCCCAGGCCGACGAGGAAGCAGGCAAAGACGGCAGTGCCGAGAATCACACGGCTCCTGAGTGGGGGAGCCAGTCTTCGAACGCAGGCAGTGCAGGTCCAGCTCCACGCTCGGGACCCTGTGCCACGTCCCCCCATAGGGGCTAAAGGGAGGGAGGGGGCACACGCACAGGCCCGGCCAGGCTTTGACAGAGGAGAGCGCGAGCACAGACCACACACACACACACACACACACACGCACGCATGCACACATGCACACGCACACACATGCACACACGTGCACACACACACGCACACGCACACACGCACACACATGCGCACACACGTGCACCCACACGCGCACGCGCACACGCGCACGCGCGCGCACACACACGCGCACACACGCGCGCGCACACACACGCGCACACCCACGCGCGCGCGCGC